TGAACCCTGCTTTGTACTTGTTCCAATAGCCTTAATCGGGTTTTTAACTTGCTTATTCACAAGGTAACAGTAAGAATATCTTCTTTCTCCGACACATTATTTTGACTCAGAGGTGATCAGTCTAAAGTTTGCCACCTCCTTCAAATAAATGCCACGTACTTAGCGGAGAAGCAGAAAATACAAGTTTTCACGTCTTTGATTTGATTCGGCCGGTGGCGGCCGAACCAACGACCTTTCAATGTAATTATTTAAATAAAGTTTTTACATATAACTTTAAAATGTTTTACAAGAACAGCATGTGAAAGAATGAGATGATTCCGATTTTATAAAGTAAGATTATTCACCAGTGACACGCATTTGCTTAACAAACTGATGAAGGGGCCTCGGTGACCGAGTGGTCTTAATTAGTAGTTACTAATGTAATCACTAGCCAGTCAACACTCGAACCCCGCTCGTGCGGGTGCACTCGACTCCAATCTTAATTGACTAGGATTGTCAGTTTTCCTATCGAAGGTCGGTGGTTTTCTCCGGGCACTCTGGCTTCCTCCACTAATAAAAACTGGCCGCCACGAAATAGCCCAAAAGCGGTGCTTAAAAGTGGCGTTAAAACACCAAAAAATCAAATCAAACTGGTGAAAACCATTTTTCATGTCGGGGACTATACGATATGGGTTTTTCACATGGCTGAAAGCCGTGCAGTGACATATAATTGCTTGTATCTTCGTCATTTTTAACTCTGGCGGATAGTTGTCTCATTGCCATTCATACCACCTTCTATTTATAAGGATGCAGATCCAAAATTATAACAATACTCCTCTCAGTCTTTTGTAGTCTCAAAAAACCACAGATAACATGACATTCGTCGAATACACAATAAAAATAAATATATAGTAAGACCAAATTTATTAACAAATTCTAATGCCTTGTTCTAATGCTCTCCATAATAATTACTAGTATAACCGTCACCTATAAAATAAATAGTATACGGAAAACATTATCCTGACATTCATGCTTTAATACAATTTGAATACCAATTTTTTCTCACTTTGTACATTAATATGCAGTAACATATTTTAGAAATACGTTTGATTACTTTTTATCAGATATATATATTCATAATAATAATAACGGTACCAATTTTACTGCACCCAATGCGCTTTTCGACAAAAATGTCTCTTCAGTGATGCTCGAGACGGAAATATTTGAAAAACCAAGACTTATACAAACGTAATAAAGAGCTGACCAAACCAAAAAGGACATAAAGTTTAGTTAAATCTGGACAAATGGTTGTGGATTTTTAAATATTCTGTTTATACCTCCCAGTTTGCATTTTCCACTAGCCGTTGCCTATGTTAAGGTATTTTATTATTTCACGAATTCGAGATTCTATAATACAAGAGAATTGTTAAGATCGAGTTTCGTGAATCTCATTGATTCAAAAACATTTAAAGATCATGAGGTTATGAATATACATGTACTAGTCCGATGAATACTACAAAATCGAAGAAATGTAAATTTGATGTTTATGTTTATTTTTAATATCACGTTGTTAACTGATGAAGATGTAGTCATTACTAATATCAACTTCTATTGTTGTTTTCCGTTTGCCATGGACTCAATTTTGTTAGTCCTCGAGTTTTTTTTGTTTTTTTTTAATTTTAATAGAAAACATTGTTTGTGCAATTTTCCTTGATTTTTTGTATGGTTTTGTCCTATCTTGTTTCATTTAGGAACGCTGGCCTTTGTTGTTGTTCGAATGAATTTTTTTGTATTATGTTTACTGATTCTAGAAGTTTGTTGCACATGCGTGTGGCTGTATAAGAAAAGTCAAACCCATAAAAACTACAAAAAGGTTTTCTTAATACAAATTTATGAAATGCATATGCCGCAATATGTAAATGATAATTACACTCTACCACAATTTATCTTTTTAAGGGAATATCTTGGCTCGCGATTTAAAGGATTGAAAGTTGCTTTGGCTTAACCCGGTTTTACTGTAGTATGAGTTTAGTCAAAGAAAATATATACGTCCCTTTGAAACCGTGATATATATATATATATATATATATATATATATATATATATATATATACTAGTCAACAAAAGAAACTCTACAAGGCAATGATAAATGGTACCGAATGTGAAATGTAAAGCTTACATTTGCCAAATTGGTCTAATATTAAGTTTACGAAATGCTTTTTTCTCATTTAAACCATTATTGTAAAGGGGAAAAAACTTTTCTGATTTTTTTGGTTTTTCAAAACTGATAAATTTGGAAATTTTTCGCTTAAAAATAATTTATAGTCTGATGAAAAATTTAAATACTTTGTAGATATATGAAAACTAAATTTTCATTAGCAAACTGAAGTGCTGTGTTAGTGATTATTTTCCGTCAAAACACTGGACCTGTTTGTTCAATAATACGGTATTTTCTCACTCACCGTCCTGGTAAGATTTATTAATCACATGCACTAACTTTGCATAGATTTTTTTAAAAATTTCATTCTGAATCATTGTTTCCCCTACTTTTTATAGTCTATGAAAAAGGCATGTTCACACTTGTGTCTCGTTACTTCTAGAATATTTTATTTATCATAACTTACATGGCCAATATTCCTCGCCCCTGAATAATACAAAAAGTCATTAAAAGAGGAGTCAGAATTAAAAAGAAAGTTACCAGAGGGTTTTTTTTTTTTACACAAAAGTGTTTTTTCATGAATAATCTATACAAAAATGGTCAATTTTGCACATTTTGTAGCTTGAAAAATAGCACGGTGACTTACACATTTCATTATATTTTTGTAAAAGCATAGTAAAATCTACATTTGGCAAAGAATCAGAAAATTCTAACTGAAGGATCCACCTCAATACATATATGACGAAGGCATGGTGCATTTTTTCTGAACGATCTAACATTTCGATAGAGTTGTCTTTCTTTTACCGGAAAACAATATAGCAAGTGACGATAATATGGTAGATGTAGTAGGCTGTTAATTTATAATTTCTATTAAGGCAGTTAATACAGACAATAACTCTTTATGATATCAACTTAGAAAATATCTCTTTTAATTGTTGACATTATACTAGCTTGTTTGAATTTTAAAGCATTACTGTAAATATTAATCTCCTTTTGTTGAAGTCATTTTTTACCGAGTCGGGTTGCATGTATTGCATGAGACGCACCCATCCTTACTCCGTTTTGTCTGATAAAATTGAGAATGGAAATGGGGAATGTGTCAAAGAGGCAACAACCCGACCATAGAACAGACAACAGCAGAAGGTCACCAACAGGTCTTCAATGCAGCGAGAAATTCCCGCACCCGGAGGCGTCCTTCAGCTGGCCCCTAAACAAATATATATACTAGTTCAGTGATAATGAACGCCATACTAAACTCCAAATTGTACACAAGAAACTAAAATTAAAAATAATACAAGACTGACAAAGGCTAGAGGGATGGTGAACACGATTTTGTTTATGTTCAAATATATTCGTCGCATATCAATTGATATGTTACATACCCCTATCTTCGAATTAAAATGAAGTAATTAACAGTGGCATTCTTGAGTTCCCAACGCAAACAATTTTCCTGCATCAATATTAAAACGAACGACTAAAGTCGAGTTTACGCATGTTTTGCTATCTCCATTACGAATTAGTTGACCACCAATACGATGTTTCTGTATCTTAAATCCGGAAAAACATTCTTAAACCGTCCATGATCCTATAAACACCAGAATAATCGTCTGATCTTTAAATTTATGTCCTTTTCCCCTTTTTTTATCTTTTTAGACGACACTGAATTTTCATGATGAAGGATACATTTAGAACAGGAGAAGTTGACCGTTTAAAGCACCCACTCGGTTTGAAGTTGATGCTATTACCTCCTCTATTCTTTGGTTGTTTTTTTGTGGATAGTAGTATTGATTACTGTATTCTTACTGATAGATACTTACGAGCATTTTGCAACACATGCATTCGTATACTCCTTGCCATAGCTTCCACAAACTTTCGGTCCGCCTGACTTGCAGTTTGATTCGCATGATGGACAGGGACATTTTCCGTCACATTTTACGGTAATTTTTCTATAACGGAAAATTAATTTGATTTACAATACGTATAATTCTATGTTAAAACTCAGTACTTTTGGGGGTAAGAGTATAATGTAACTTGAAAAAATACTGCGTTTTAACATAGAATTATACGTATAATAAATCAAATCTCCGATTAAAAAGTTATTGATCGGTTTAAAAATTGAAAAGACAAATCGTTTTACGATTTAGGTAAATGTTTGTATTCAAAACTATTATTAGCTAAAATTAGTTAAATAGCTGCTTAAAGCCAAACGAAATTACGCAACATGGATCGATCAAAATGATTAAATTGTTTCTATTGATGAGTTGCTTATGAGACTAAAACATATAATATGAATAATAAGATGTGGTATGAGTGCCAATGAGACAACTCTCCATTCAAGTCACAATGTATAAAAAGTAAACAATTTTAGGTCAAAGTACGGCCTTCAACACGGCTCACACGGAACAGCAAGCTATAAACGGCCCCCAAAAAAATTATAGTGTGAAACAATTCAAACAGGAAAACCAACGATCTAATCTACATAAAAAACGAGAAACGAGAAACACTTATGAACCGCACCAACAAACGACAACCACTGAACAACAACCTTAATACACCTTTCCTCCATTAAGTGAAAAATCAATAAAAAAAACTTTTAACCATAATTTTAATAATCAGCCTCAAATAAATTTTAGTCAATTAATAAAGATTATAAAGCTGTAAAATATGTGCCTGAAAAATTATGAAAATATCCTTTTATTAAGTGTTCTACCTTTCTTCGCATTTCATATTTTGTTAAACCAGCAATTTATTTTAATGATGAAGTAAACGATCACTGTAATTTACTGATTTGACGAAGAAGGCATGTTGTTGTTAAATGTGGAATAATTCAAAGATAAGGAATCTTAGTTATCAGTTTATTGTCTTACTTGCACTTCGCATGGCATTTTGATTGATGTGTTTTGCCATCCTTCCCACACACTGGACTGTAAGTATACGGACAATGGTCTTTACAATCACAAGGACATCGTTTGTTACAAACTATTTTGATGTTCCTGTAATATTTGAATTGCTCATTATGAAAGAGAAATACTGAAAAAACAGAGGTGTATGAAAAACAAATGCTACAGGGCGAATATCGCAAAAATGAAATCTCATTTTGTCCGCAGTGAAGGGGGGATTACAAAAATACTGTGACACTGTTTTCTCGCGTAGTGGCATTAAGCATACGTGGATTCATTAGAAATCAAAAGAACTTCTAGAAAATTTTAAATTTCGGTCATTTTCGGAAATAAATTCTATCAAAATATTCGATTTTATAAAGTAACTTGAAAAAATACTGCGTTTTAACATAGAATTATACGTAAAATAAATCAAATCTCCGATTAAAAAGTTAGTGATCGGTTTAAAAATTGAAAAGACAAATCGTTTAACGAAAAAGGTAAATGTTTGTATTCAAAACTATTATTAGCTAAAATTAGTTAAATAGCTGCTTAAAGCCAAACGAAATTACGCAACATGGATCGATCAAAATGATTTAATTGTTTCTATTGATGAGTTGCTTATGAGACTAAACCATATAATATGAATAATAAGATGTGGTATGAGTGCCAATGAGACAACTCTCCATTCAAGTCACAATGTATAAAAAGTAAACAATTTTAGGTCAAAGTACGGCCTTCAACACGACTCACACCGAACAGCAAGCTATAAAGGGCCCCAAAAATATAGTGTAAAACAATTCAAACAGGAAAACCAACGATCTAATCTACATAAAAAACGAGAAGCGAGAAACACTTATGAACTGCACCAACAAACAACAACCACTGAACAACTACCCATTTAATACATCTTTCCTCCATTAAGTGAAAAATCATTAAAAGACTTTTAACCATAATTTTAATAATCAGCCTCAAATAAATTTTAGTCAAATAATAAAGATTATAAAGTTGTAAAATATGTGCCTGAAAAATTATGAAAATATCCTTTTATTAAGTGTTCTACCTTTCTTCGCATTTCATATTTTGTTAAACCAGCAATTTATTTTAATGATGAAGTAAACGATCACTGTAATTTACTGATTTGACGAAGAAGGCATGTTGTTGTTAAATGCGGAATAATTCCAAAGATTAGGAATCTGAGTTATCAGTTTATTGTCTTACTTGCACTTCGCATGGCATTTTGATTGATGTGTTTTGCCATCCTTCCCACACACTGGACTGTAAGTATACGGACAATGGTCTTTACAATCACAAGGACATCGTTTGTTACACATTATTTTGATGTTCCTGTAATATTTGAATTGCTCATTATGAAAGAGAAATACTGAAAAAACAGAGGTGTATGAAAAACAAATGCTACAGGGCGAATATCGCAAAAATGAAATCTCATTTTGTCCGCAGTGAAGGGGGGATTACAAAAATACTGTGACACTGTTTTCTCGCGTAGTGGCATTAAGCATACGTGGATTCATTAGAAATCAAAAGAACTTCTAGAAAATTTTAAATTTCGGTCATTTTCGGAAATAAATTCTATCAAAATATTCGATTTTATAAAGTAACTTGAAAAAATACTGCGTTTTAACATAGAATTATACGTAAAATAAATCAAATCTCCGATTAAAAAGTTAGTGATCGGTTTAAAAATTGAAAAGACAAATCGTTTAACGAAAAAGGTAAATGTTTGTATTCAAAACTATTATTAGCTAAAATTAGTTAAATAGCTGCTTAAAGCCAAACGAAATTACGCAACATGGATCGATCAAAATGATTTAATTGTTTCTATTGATGAGTTGCTTATGAGACTAAACCATATAATATGAATAATAAGATGTGGTATGAGTGCCAATGAGACAACTCTCCATTCAAGTCACAATGTATAAAAAGTAAACAATTTTAGGTCAAAGTACGGCCTTCAACACGACTCACACCGAACAGCAAGCTATAAAGGGCCCCAAAAATATAGTGTAAAACAATTCAAACAGGAAAACCAACGATCTAATCTACATAAAAAACGAGAAGCGAGAAACACTTATGAACTGCACCAACAAACAACAACCACTGAACAACTACCCATTTAATACATCTTTCCTCCATTAAGTGAAAAATCATTAAAAGACTTTTAACCATAATTTTAATAATCAGCCTCAAATAAATTTTAGTCAAATAATAAAGATTATAAAGTTGTAAAATATGTGCCTGAAAAATTATGAAAATATCCTTTTATTAAGTGTTCTACCTTTCTTCGCATTTCATATTTTGTTAAACCAGCAATTTATTTTAATGATGAAGTAAACGATCACTGTAATTTACTGATTTGACGAAGAAGGCATGTTGTTGTTAAATGCGGAATAATTCCAAAGATTAGGAATCTGAGTTATCAGTTTATTGTCTTACTTGCACTTCGCATGGCATTTTGATTGATGTGTTTTGCCATCCTTCCCACACACTGGACTGTAAGTATACGGACAATGGTCTTTACAATCACAAGGACATCGTTTGTTACACATTATTTTGATGTTCCTGTAATATTTGAATTGCTCATTATGAAAGAGAAATACTGAAAAAACAGAGGTGTATGAAAAACAAATGCTACAGGGCGAATATCGCAAAAATGAAATCTCATTTTGTCCGCAGTGAAGGGGGGATTACAAAAATACTGTGACACTGTTTTCTCGCGTAGTGGCATTAAGCATACGTGGATTCATTAGAAATCAAAAGAACTTCTAGAAAATTTTAAATTTCGGTCATTTTCGGAAATAAATTCTATCAAAATATTCGATTTTATAAAGTAACTTGAAAAAATACTGCGTTTTAACATAGAATTATACGTAAAATAAATCAAATCTCCGATTAAAAAGTTAGTGATCGGTTTAAAAATTGAAAAGACAAATCGTTTAACGAAAAAGGTAAATGTTTGTATTCAAAACTATTATTAGCTAAAATTAGTTAAATAGCTGCTTAAAGCCAAACGAAATTACGCAACATGGATCGATCAAAATGATTTAATTGTTTCTATTGATGAGTTGCTTATGAGACTAAACCATATAATATGAATAATAAGATGTGGTATGAGTGCCAATGAGACAACTCTCCATTCAAGTCACAATGTATAAAAAGTAAACAATTTTAGGTCAAAGTACGGCCTTCAACACGACTCACACCGAACAGCAAGCTATAAAGGGCCCCAAAAATATAGTGTAAAACAATTCAAACAGGAAAACCAACGATCTAATCTACATAAAAAACGAGAAGCGAGAAACACTTATGAACTGCACCAACAAACAACAACCACTGAACAACTACCCATTTAATACATCTTTCCTCCATTAAGTGAAAAATCATTAAAAGACTTTTAACCATAATTTTAATAATCAGCCTCAAATAAATTTTAGTCAAATAATAAAGATTATAAAGTTGTAAAATATGTGCCTGAAAAATTATGAAAATATCCTTTTATTAAGTGTTCTACCTTTCTTCGCATTTCATATTTTGTTAAACCAGCAATTTATTTTAATGATGAAGTAAACGATCACTGTAATTTACTGATTTGACGAAGAAGGCATGTTGTTGTTAAATGCGGAATAATTCCAAAGATTAGGAATCTGAGTTATCAGTTTATTGTCTTACTTGCACTTCGCATGGCATTTTGATTGATGTGTTTTGCCATCCTTCCCACACACTGGACTGTAAGTATACGGACAATGGTCTTTACAATCACAAGGACATCGTTTGTTACACATTATTTTGATGTTCCTGTAATATTTGAATTGCTCATTATGAAAGGGAAATACTGAAAAGACAGAGGTATATGAAAAACAAATGCTACAGGGTGAATATCGCAAAAATGAAATCTCATTTTGTCCGCAGTGAAGGAGGGATTACAAAAATACTGTGACACTGTTTTCTCGCGTAGTGGCATTAAGCATACGTGGATTCATTAGAAATTAAAAGAACTTCTAGAAAATTTAAATTTTCTGTCATTTTCGGAAATAAATTCTGTCAAAATATTCGATTTTATAATGTAACTTGAAAAAATACTGCGTTTTAACATAGAATTATACGTATAATAAATAAAATCTCCGATTAAAAAGTTAGTGATCGGTTTAAAAATTGAAAAGACAAATCGTTTAACGATTAAGGTAAATGTTTGTATTCAAAACTATTATTAGTTAAAATTAGTTAAATAGCTGCTTATTGCCAAACGAAATTAAGCAATATGGATCGATCAAAATGATTAAATTGTTTCTATTGATGAGTTGGTTATGAGACTAAAACATATAATATGAATAATAAGATGTGATATGAGTGCCAATGAGACAACTCTCCATTCAAGTCACAATGTATAAAAAGTAAACAATTTTAGGTCAAAGTACGGCCTTCAACACGGCTCACACCGAACAGCAAGCTATAAAGTGCCCCAAAATGAATAGTGAAAAACAATTCAAACAGGAACACCAACGATCTAATCTACATAAAAAACGAGAAGCGAGAAACACTTATGAACCGCACCAACAAACGACAACCACTTAACAACTACCCATTTAATACACGAGTGAAAAATTAATAAAAGACTTTTAACCATAATTTTAATAATCAGCGTCAAATAAATTTGAGTCAATTAATAAAGATTATAAAGCTGTAAAATATGTGCCTGAAAAATTATGAAAATATGAAATGAAATTTCGGTCATTTTCGGAAATAAATTCTATCAAAATATTCGATTTTATAATGTAACTTGAAAAAATACTGCGTTTTAACATAGAATTATACGTATAATAAATCAAATCTCCGATTAAAAAGTTAGTGATCGGTTTAAAAATTGAAAAGACAAATCGTTTAACGATTAAGGTAAATGTTTGTATTCAAAACTATTATTAGTTAAAATTAGTTAAATAGCTGATTAAAGCCAAACGAAATTAAGCAACATGGATCGATCAAAATAATTAAATTGTTTCTATTGATGAGTTGGTTATGAGACTAAAACATATAATATGAATAATAAGATGTGGTATGAGTGCCAATGAGACAACTCTCCATTCAAGTCACAATGTATAAAAAGTAAACAATTTTAGGTCAAAGTACGGCCTTCAACACGGCTCACACCGAACAGCAAGCTATAAAGTGCCTCAAAATGAATAGTGAAAAACAATTCAAACAGGAACGCCAACGATCTAATCTACGTAAAAAACGAGAAGCGAGAAACACTTATGAACCGCACCAACAAACGACAACCACTTAACAACTACCCATTTAATACACGAGTGAAAAATTAATAAAAGACTTTTAACCATAATTTTAATAATCAGCGTCAAATAAATTTTAGTCAATTAATAAAGATTATAAAGCTGTAAAATATGTGCCTGAAAAATTATGAAAATATGAAATGAAATTTCGGTTATTTTCGGAAATAAATTCTATCAAAATATTCGATTTTATAATATAACTTGAAAAAATACTGCGTTTTAACATAGAATTATACGTATAATAAATCAAATCTCCGATTAAAAAGTTTGTGATCGGTTTAAAAATTGAAAAGACAAATCGTTTAACGATTAAGGTAAATGCTTGTATTCAAAACTATTATTAGTTAAAATTAGTTAAATAGCTGCTTAAAGCCAAACGAAATTAAGCAGCATGGATCGATCAAAATGATTAAATTGTTTCTATTGATGAGTTGGTTATGAGACTAAAACATATAATATGAACAATAAGATGTGGTATGAGTGCCAATGAGACAACTCTCCATTCAAGTCACAATGTATAAAAAGTAAACAATTTTAGGTCAAAGTACGGCCTTCAACACGGCTCACACCGAACAGCAAGCTATAAAGTGCCCCAAAATGAATAGTGAAAAACAATTCAAACAGGAACACCAACGATCTAATCTACATAAAAAACGAGAAGCGAGAAACACTTATGAACCGCACCAACAAACGACAACCACTTAACAACTACCCATTTAATACACGAGTGAAAAATTAATAAAAGACTTTTAACCATAATTTTGATAATCAGCGTCAAATAAATTTGAGTCAATTAATAAAGATTATAAAGCTGTAAAATATGTGCCTGAAAAATTATGAAAATATCCTTTTATTAAGTGTTCTACCTTTCTTCGCGTTTCATATTTTGTTAAACCAGCAATTTATTTTAATGATGAAGTAAACGATCACTGTAATTTACTGATTTGACGAAGAAGGCATGTTGTTGTTAAATGTGGAATAATTCCAAAGATTAGGAATCTTAGTTATCAGTTTATTGTCTTACTTGCACTTCGCATGGCATTTTGATTGATGTGTTTTGCCATCCTTCCCACACACTGGACTGTAAGTATACGGACAATGGTCTTTACAATCACAAGGACATCGTTTGTTACAAACTATTTTGATGTTCCTGTAATATTTGAATTGCTCATTATGAAAGAGAAATACTGAAAAAACAGAGGTGTATGAAAAACAAATGCTACAGGGTGAATATCGCAAAAATGAAATCTCATTTTGTCCGCAGTGAAGGAGGGATTACAAAAATACTGTGACACTGTTTTCTCGCGTAGTGGCATTAAGCATACGTGGATTCATTAGAAATCAAAAGAACTTCTAAAAAATTTAAAATTTCGGTCATTTTCGGAAATAAATTCTATCAAAATATTCGATTTTATAAAGTAACTTGAAAAAATACTGCGTTTTAACATAGACTTATACGTATAATAAATCAAATCTCCGATTAAAAAGTTAGTGATCGGTTTAAAAATTGAAAAGACAAATCGTTTAACGAAAAAGGTAAATGTTTGTATTCAAAACTATTATTAGCTAAAATTAGTTAAATAGCTGCTTAAAGCCAAACGAAATTACGCAACATGGATCGATCAAAATGATTTAATTGTTTCTATTGATGAGTTGCTTATGAGACTAAACCATATAATATGAATCATAAGATGTGGTATGAGTGCCAATGAGACAACTCTCCATTCATGTCACAATGTATAAAAACTAAACAATTTTAGGTCAAAGTACGGCCTTCAACACGACTCACACCGAACAGCAAGCTATAAAGTGCCCCAAAAATATAGTGTAATGCAATTCAAACAGGAAAACCAACGATCTAATCTACATAAAAAACGAGAAGCGAGAAACACTTATGAACTGCACCAACAAACAACAACCACTGAACAACTACCCATTTAATACACCTTTCCTCCATTAAGTGAAAAATCAATAAAAGACTTTTAACCATAATTTTAATAATCAGCCTCAAATAAATTTTAGTCAATTAATAAAGATTATAAAGCTGTAAAATATGTGCCTGAAAAATTATGAAAATATCCTTTTATTAAGTGTTCTTCCTTTCTTCGCGTTTCATATTTTGTTAAACCAGCAATTTATTTTAATGATGAAGTAAATGATCATTGTAATTTACTGATTTGACGAAGAAGGCATGTTGTTGTTAAATGTGGAATAATTCCAAAGATTAGGAATCTGAGTTATCAGTTTATTGTCTTACTTGCACT